TAAGTCGTCTCAGAGCTCCCGAACTTTGGCATAGACCTTCCTTGAAACAGTTGATAGGTGGTTTTCAACTTATCGTCTATACAAACACCAAGAATATTCAGGAAGCCACTTATTTCGATAACTGAGTCGCCAATATGAAGAGCAGGTTCATGAGAGTGCTTACCCAGGATCATAGCTTGGGTTTTTTTGCTGTTGACGGACAAATAATTTGAAGCAAACCAGGATGAGAGATTCTCAAGATCTTTGTTGAGAGACATTTCTAATGCTGAAATGTCTGTATTGGATGCATAGGCTGTAGTGTCATCAGCATAGAGCCTCAGGGAAGAGAGTTGAACAGAAAAATTCATATCGTTGCCATTTGCTTTGTTTTTCAAAAGAATGTTGTGGCGATAAACTGAAACCAGTTTATAGCTGGAGGTAGTGTGCTGTGGATCGTTGCAATGCGTGAAATCACCCTTGAGCCTATTTTGATCAAGAACTCCATGCAGTGCAAGGTCAATCTGATCCTTCAGGCCAAAATGACAAAAATTTAATATATAGATTTAGCCAGGGCTAAAAGTGAGGCTGCCATTAATACATTTATAATTTAAATCAAACAATTAACTTGTATTCCACAATTTGTTTATTTGGTGTTTGCTCTTTTCAAAGACGAACTCGAGGCAAGAAAATCGCTCAAAGCCTTCTTTTACAGCCAGAATTATAACTAAATGTTCTTTGGAACGTCTTCTTTCCATTTACGGTAAGAAAATGTCTAAAGTCTTTTGAAAGATCTGTAAGCTAGCTTATATAAACAAACCTCCAGTGATACTCGGTCAGATCATTGTCTCAAATTAAATCTTGTGCGTAAACAAAATAGCCGCATAAACTCCGCTCGACTACATTAAATTAATAAAAAATAAAAAAAAAACAAACATCAAATACAATAATTACTCAGGCTTACCACTCGAGATGCAGCTCCTGAAAGGTATCAAGTAAGGCCAGTATCGGTTCATACTTTGCAACCCTCTTACGCATTAAGGTGGCTCGATACAGTTTTTCAGGGTCAATACCTCCCAAGTTTGAGCGTAAACTACGTCGCCATAAACAAAGATTTGGAAAAATTAACACCACAGTTGTATTAGATAAAGATGAAAATTGATTATGATCAGGGTTACAATGACATCGGAGTTGTCATAGCAACGAAATGACGCCATTACCTATTTTACTTGCAGCAGTATTTCTCGGCACTGGGAACTGTTCTTCCAAAATCGTTTACTGGAGCTTTTACCTACGATAGCTGCCTCAATGTTCGTGAGGCAGCTATCGTGAGGTTTCAAGATTATTGATATATTGTAAGGTAGTAAAATAAGGGCTACAATTCGCTAATATTTTGTCAGAAATTTTGTCTTTGCAAGTGAGAGCCTCTTATTATTCAGGGGTATTGTCTCAAAGTTTCATTTTCACGTGAACAGCAGTAACTAACAATGCATTTGACATATGCAAAACTGCTAGCTATTGTTATGCACGAAATAATGAAACTTGGAGACAATACCCTGAATAATGAGAGGCTCTCACTTGTAAACACAAAATTTCTGACAAAATGTTAGCGAATTCAAGCCCTTATTTTACTGCCTTACAATATATCAATAATTTTGAAATTAAGAGGTCAAATAAAAGGACGGTTTATCTCCAGATTCTTAAATTTTCTAAAAAATTTATCGAGTGGTTTAAAAATTATTCGCTAATTTGTTAAAGTAGACCGAAATGTTTACATAACCGCTAACAAGAGCGCCTTGATACGTATTAATCAAATCCTCCTTTCTAGCAATCGGCTGGATGTATCTCCATGATCTTTCACACACGTTTTTAAAAAGATTGAAACTACTATGAGGTGAAATTGCATGTCAAAAGCGCTTCGTTTAGTACAGATAACAGTCGAACATCAAGATTGTCAATTTTTTACCGTATTTCTAACCAAAAAAACTTCATCCCAAAATATCTCGATAACGCTCTTACAGATTTCGCTTAAACTTCACGAACATCGAGGCAGCTATCGTAGGTAAAAGCTCCAGTAAACGATTTTGGAAGAACAGTTCCCAGTGCCGAGAAATACTGCTGCAAGTAAAATAGGTAATGGCGTCATTTTGTTGCTATGACAACTCCGATGTCATTGCAACCCTGATCATAACCAATTTTCTTCTTTATCTAATACAACTGTGGTGTCAATTTTTCCAAATCCTTGTTTATGCCGACGCAGTTTACGCTCAAACTTGGGAGGTATTGACCTTGAAAAACTATATCGAGCCACCTTAAGGTATTCAAAACCTTACGACCACAATAGAACAGTTATGTGATGCAATCATAAACGTCAACAACTTCATTTAAATCAAAATTATACAACGTTTTGAAACTTAATTTTGAACGAAACAAACGAAACTGCAACTGTAATGTCATTATATCTTAATGCTGTCCTCACACATATCTAAGGTACATTGTCACACAATCAATGCTGCCTTTACGAATTCCACGTCATAATTGACCGTCAAATAGCATATGGGTGTGAAACTGATCAGAAGGCGGAATTTCATTTTGTAGCGACACTTAATTTTGGTGCATTTTAATTTAGCGATTTAAAAAAATAGCTTAATTCGTTAATTAAATTAAAGTGTCACCAAAATGTCATGTCATAACGTACATTAAATAAAGCGCGATTCTAAAAAAATAATGAAATAAAAACGGAGTTTAAAAAAACACAAAAAATCACAAAGGGTGACGGAAATAAAAATGTCACTAATCATTATGCATCAGTCAATTCCAGCTGCGGTGGGTCATCATGAAAGTGTACTGGGTAAGTTGAACATGTTGAGCCCCATTGTTAGAAGTTCTCATACATTTTCTCTTACGTGATCTGACAAGCTAGTCGCTGGGCCAAATTTTGGCTGCAACGTTGATTAGCTTTTAGAACCAATCCAACGCCGCCTGGTTAGTGTAAGCTCAAGTGGATAAGAGCCGGTCTGCCGAGCGGAAGGCCGCTGGTTCACACCCCGGCCGGACCAACAACTTCGGGTCTTTAAATAAATAAATGAATTCCCAGACATTCTAATTTATTTTTCTTGAATACGAATTAAAAGCAACTCAGTAAATAGTCTTTCATTACAGATAAGTTAATTAACGTTTTTAAGGGGACCTATTTCTAGGTAAACCATTGCGCCCAAGTTCATTCCATCAACCTTAACTCGAACACCAGTCGGTTGACTTGTTCGTATTTTGGAGTGGGCTTCCTTACTTTTATGAGACTTCCTCGTCAATTGTTGTCTTCCCTTTACAGCAGCGATATCTAAGACGCAGAATTTTCTTCTTAAAATAAATCGGTCATCCTTTGCCTGGAAACTGTAATTGCCGCTTCGAGCTTGCCCGACTCCAACAGAAAGAAAGTCTGTGGCACCGGACGAATTTCCAACCGGTTATAAATTCGTACGTTTTCCGTTTACGCGGAGCCACCTTAACCGTGCAAAAATTTAGACGTCCAGCCGTTGAAGAAAATTTGAACGCCAGAATCCAGGTCAAATTTTAAACCAGTGCGGTCGAAAATTTTACTGGAGCGGTGAGATTACCATACTGTTTTAGTGCTTTAACGGCAAAGGCGTGGTTGCCTGGATGCGTGGTAAATCAGCTTGGAGATGCCATGTGAATTTGCTAAAGTGACGCTCTACGCATGAGCAGATGGTAAAACCAGTGACACAAGTTATCACTCAACTTGTTTCGGCAGTTTCCTGTGAACTGAGCGAAAGTATTGAATTTCTTGAATGATTTCTTGTTGTGAATCGAGCATCTGCTCAAGTGATAAAACACATCACAGACAAACAAGGGGTTTTACGCGAGGATGTCTACATTTTTTTTTTTCCGAAGAGGAAGTTATAAATCGAGTTATTCTTTGAATAATTTCCTTCTAGAAGGGGAAGTAAATATTTTGAACAAAACTGTTCAACTTCCCAATGCTTTTATGTGCAAAGCCGAACGATTAATAGGCAATACAATTAGGTACACGCAAAATTTTTTAAGCTTCCGGCAAACTTATGGTCGAGAGAGGATATCCTAAATCGACTATACAATTATTCGAAAGATCTAGTCATGTGCACACACACACACACACACCATTTTTGGTTTTGGCATCCGGCGTTCTCGTTATAATTGCGGAGATGACGACACCTTAGCGAGTGAGTGACACATTTGCAAATCGTAGCGCCGCACCCCCATCCCCCAAAATCTACTAGTTTAAAAAAAATGAATCACTGGTTGTTTTCTCTGGATAACCTGTGATTTGCGTCGGTGAAGGAGTTAAGTACATCTACTAACAAAGCTAAGGCCAAGGACAGTTGGTCAAGATTACGGCCTTCTGTGCGAGAGGCCCCCAGTTCGACTCCCAGGAGTGACTTAAAATCATTGTTTGGGCTTCTCTCATTTTTGAGTAGCTTTGAGTAGCTTAAAAAACCCGTAAGGTGGAGCAGGCGGAGCGGGCGGAGCACTGATGGAGAGAAAAGGGTAAACACAGGGTAAAATGAGCGTAACTTACCTCACCACGGGTTTGTTAGTTAGATTCAGCTACCGACGTAAATTAAGGACGCTTTACCTTTTACCTTTAACCTGGTTCACAGCAATGTTCATAACACACATTTATTGTTATTTTGTCATCTATGTTTTTTTTTTGTTTTTTGCTCGTTTTCTTATTTTATAAGATAGCACTGAGTATTGGAGACTTGGGTTAGCGCGTTTCCCCCCATTACCACGCGCTTTTCCAAAACAAATTATTAAATGTAGCGATTACATTTTCTAATTTCAATTCTATGTAGCATGTTTTTCAAAAGAAGTAGGGTATCTGAGAGAAGGGCTAAATAACATTCTAACCTCAACAAAAACAAGACAAAATCTTGTGCGTGCTGGTGTTTTAATCTTAATCAAACTTGATCTTTAGAAAATACAAAGTCACATTAGTTTACGTTTTGCATTAGCACTCCTAACGTGCCAATATCTAAGCGTGCCTTTGTTATCACACACATCCCATAGAATGACACTAAAAAAGCAACCCCAATGAACTAGGTCTGAACTCCGTTCGGAATCCATCTTGGAATGAAGTAGGGATATGTTAGGTCATCTTTGTCCTTCCGTTTCTTGTTCCTTTCCTGCAGTTTGGGCTGAACAACATGCATCAAGTAGCTGTAGTGATTGTTGATAATGTTAGCGGCCTTACTGTCCTCAAGACTGTTGCCGTAGTCAAACAGTGAATCAAAGCGGAAACTTGCTAACGAGTTGCTGAAGCTTGCCTCAATCTGAAAAGTTAAAAAAGCAAATTAAAATCGCTTCAGCAAACACTTGACAACGTATAGTTACGGTATTAAGTTTAATTCATTGAATTATAATCTTCGAAAAATAGTCATTAAGCGCTCCTGGCTGGCCAACTTTTCAATAGACGTGGATAAAAAAGACTATATTTGCTCTTCTTGTTAATTTACTAATAAATGAACACTTTGTAATTTAGCACAAAAAAATAGACACACAGATAATTTCAAAGGCATTATTTGAGCCTGAAGGCTAATTTAGCTTGTAAGTTTTCTAGTTATTCCCCTGTCATTTAGTTTCTCGTTTTAAATACAGGTAAAAAAGACTGTTACCTAAGAATCGAAAGTCATTTTTCGCAGAGTAGCACAGATGGTGCAAAATAATTTCAACAAAGTCAACATTTATATGTCTTATCGTGAATAATATTACTTGGTTATTTAGCCGCGGTTGTTAATTTTCGGTCGAACGATAACCTCGGCTTTTTATTATATTTTGGTGATCTATTAGTCATAACTATCCACTCAAAGCTAAAAGTTAAATAAGGGCAATGAAATTAAAGTTTTAATAATCTTAGATATGAACGTTGTGCCTACCGCAGATGTAACCCTGTTTGGGAGTCGGTAAACAGAGAATTCACCCTCTTTAACTCTGGTATCATTGTACAGTTTCGTTGGCAGATTAGGGATGTACACAGCATAGTCTGCCAGCAGGTAGTTGCATGCGGTGTGCTGCAGGCTTAGGTGTGAGATAATCCGGGTAACAACACCACAGAGTTCTTCTTTGGAGTCAATTCTTGCAGGGAACTTTTGTATCTGTCGGTTATTTAAGTGAAAGTAGCTTAAATAAAGAATGTATAAGTACCCGAAAATTTGACATCAGTTTTCGGGGAAACGTTTTGGTCGTCAGGCTTGAAGAAATTCATTATCTATTTGTTACTCAACCGCACGGAAAACCGTAAAGTTTATAGACAATAAAATGCACCTCAATTACCAAAACTGATGAGCAACATGGGGTTAACCAGGAAAGCTCTAAAATATAACCATTCCCTTTGGTTTGGCTTTCCATTATTATCGTCCTGATAGGCTCGGTCGTCTCCAAAAAAACGTGGTGATCGAAACTTTTCGTCAGGCCGGACTACGATTATGATTAAATGTAAATTTGAAGAGTGCAAGTTTTAGCACTTCCAGAGTAACTGCGTTGTACAAGTCTTAAATGAAATGCACCCGTTGAAAAAGTACGTGTACGTCTTTCCCGTTAAATCTACAAAGGAATTTGGAGGGACTACTATCATTTTGGAGGGACTGCTAGCACTCTTGATTTCCATTGCGCCCAATGTTGTCTGTTTTCTAAAACTCACTTTACGGGTTAATGCACGCAGTGAAGGTACTAATATTAATTGGTATACTGATACTTACTCTTCCAATTCCGCCATTCTCTCCAGTTCCGTTGAGAGAAAGTTCATTGAGGAAATCCTCGAGTTCCTTGTCTTCCTGGACAGCTCTATCGTCTTTATAATATCTGAAAAAAAGAAATGGCTATGTTATTATAAAGCTATTATTGATCATGCAGTAACTTCCTCAAACTAATGAATCCTTGACAAAATTTGTATTCAAAGTTTCGTATTCTTTCATGTCATAGGATCGAAGAACTTGAACAGCCCTTTATCTCCTAAACTTCTCGATACACATACACTATCGAGATGAACTTGATGTAGCTTGTTTTTGAATGAATAATAAAACAATTATTGAATTCGCTTCATATCATCTGAAGAATTATGAAGATCTCTGAGGGTGATATCCGCCGAGGCCGACACTCTACTCGATCCCTATAATTCTTCAGATGACACGAAGTCGAATTCAATAATTGTTCATTTGTAATGTTTGTGAAGAAAGTCTATGAAAAAGTGAGGATGTTAAGAACTTAAAAATATTTTGTATGAATGATTAAAACAACTTTCAACTTACGCGTTAATATGCAAAGGTAAAAAGAAAGCTTTATCAACTCTCCTGACCAGTAACTTTGCCTGATGAAAATACTTACAAAGAGACGTATTGCTCCACCATGTGATCGATTACTCCTAAAATCTCCTCGCCATCATCACGGTAAGGAAAGTACGGAATAAGTCTCCTGTCATCTAGTCCACGTTTCTATTAAGGTGTATTAACACCACACACATAAAAAGGTCAAGACTGGCAAAAAGTAATCAAAACTTCTGGTGTGCGAGCAGTGAACAAGTTCATAGTAAAGACTAAATCCTTCTTGTACGGAAGTTCTTATAAATAAAAAGGTAGCGTTTCTTTTTTGATGCCACTGGGTTGAAGTTTCATGTCGCTTTCTGAATTATTCCTATCCATAAGCTATGCACAGTTTTATGGAACTTCAGATCGAGTTCCGATAGAAATTAAATGTTTGACAATCGTTTTAGGCCATGTAAATGCACCTTCCTGACAAACAAGCATTATAATTATTCATCTAACTACACTTATAAACAACAGAGATGAAAAACTCATTAGAGCGAGGAAAACTAGTTTTCTAACACCCAGATTGCAATCAGTTGTAAACTTCTTCGTTCTTTTTTCTCCTTTTGTGTTTGCTCACACTGCTCATTAAAGCTTCCATTGTTTGAATTTGGCTAAATTCCACGTCACAGCCCTTTTTGATGAAACCAAAGAAAGTAAGATAGCATGGCAACAAACCTTTACTTCTTCTTTCAAATTTGTCACCTCCCACGTGGCTACTTTATGAGAGTCTTTCAGAAGCCTTGCGGTGCCGGTATTGCCATGTGCAAAGAGCAAATCCATAAACTGTGCCTCGTCTACAAGCTTTGGAGTTCCAAATGTGTTTGGGACAGTTATTTCTCTGCAATGAAACTTGAGTATTTGATGCAGAGGATGCTGGGATGAAAAGGTCCGTTTTAGGATAACACAAAATGGCTCCATCAGATAATGAATCTTTAAAAAGAAAAAATTCAAGAAATATAGCGTTTATTATTATCATTATCAGTAACATTCATTATCAGTATCATTTATAATTAGTATCATTATCATTATTACACGAGTCTTAGAAACAGGCAAATATGAAACATGTACAGCAAATATCATCACCTTTGCAAGGTGCTCCACGATTTGTGCGTAGCCGAGATCTGTGATTTGGACATTAAGCTTAGCCAGCATCCAGTTTCCGCCATCTTCACGAGTGTACACGGCTGAATCTAAAGAATACAGTGTTAATACTATAAGTTGACCCAGCATACTGTCAAATTGCAAAATAGACAAATGAAGATGTAAAATGAATCTACTAAACTCGTCTACATATTTACAGCCGTTATTAAGATTTATCGACTTTGCGGAACTGTATATTCTTTATTTTATTATATTATATTTCTTTTTATTTTCCGACGTTACTCTTTCCAGATTCCCAAGTCTAATTTTTATCCGGGTTTTCCGAGGGACATTCACTGACTGATCCTCGAAAACTAAAAAAACATGGTAAAAAAAAAACTATTGGAAGAGAGTGAAGAAGTGATATTGTTTACAGTAAAATCAGGTTTAGAGTCCAATGTTTGAGTTTCCTGTACAAAAGCGATAGATAATAGGAATTGCTAGGAAGCCTTCCGAAAACTGGACAGGTATATGGCCTCTGATCACTGAGCCAAACCCATCTTGTATTACGTAGTACACACGCATGCGCGGCAATTTCAACTACATACATAACTTTGTAAAACGTCAGTGACAGAAATAGCATAGTTAAGACTTGGTGGGAGAAATAATTTTAAAACTGATGTAAAATACTATTAGAGTATCCCTTCCCCGTATTGAAGAAATTTTTTGGCAGATAACTACCCATTACATTTAGTTAAGTGTATTGGACATTTTCAGTCAGTCACATGTATTTAGCATTTTACCTGGTTTATAATCCATTTGAATGGCCACAGGAACAAGCTCATTTTTACCGTTTTTATTCCCCTTAGACGCAAACAAAGCGATAGGAGAGAGAAAGTTCCACATTTTTCTTCGAGGATCTCTATCAGTAAGATCTGGTGATCTTGCCATGTCGTCACACATCTCATATCGTAGAGCGTAAATGCGGCCCTGATCTATAGCCTGCAAAGCAACACAAGTGGCGCCGTCCTTAAAATTTCTTAAACGAAATAAATACCCAGTACAACTACCTGGCTGGAAATAGGCGGACTCTGGTCAAATAGCATAAAGAGACTCTCTGTTACGCTTGTAGCTGAAAACAAGCAGAATATGAATTTTAATTAAAATTATTCCCCCATGTTTTTGTCATGCAACATAAGGCTTACTAGGTTATGTATTGTTTGATAATAAGAGGCCCGGAGATTTTTATGTAACCTTGATACAACTACGCAGTCTTTAACTGAGGGTCAAATGATTTTGATCGGTTTATTCCACCGATACAAGGTGGGATTTAATTAGTTTTTATATATTTATCGTATTTTACCGATAAATTGGGAGTAGCCGTTATGTTTCACCGGATTTAACAATAAGATTTTACTTATTTTATATTAATTGTCTACATGCGTTATTAATCAATTTCCGTTTTGCGTAGTATTGCTTATAATAAGCTTCGGTAAAACGGGCAACAAAAACGTGCAACTTGTTTGCAACATTGCTGCAGAACAATTCGAAAAGTGAATTGTTGCGCGTTTTACAAGCCACTTTCAAACCTGTAAGAACCTGATTTGTTGTAAGACAGGTCTGATAGAGCTGGTAAAACGCGCAAGACCGCTGTTCAACTTGTTTTGCAGCGTTGTTGCATGACAAGTTGCATTTTGTTGTTGCCCGTTTTTCCGTACTTTATATGATCACTGAGCCAGTCACACATTTCTTGTCTTCATAAAGTTATTTAGGTGATTCATTCTAGTTTTCATCAGCACTTTTCCATCCAGTGAGAAAATGAAATTGCAAACAGATCCATTAAATAATATTAGCGATACTTCAGTGTAGTTTGACTGCTAATTTTTATCTCAAAGTATTAGGACTATATATCCATACTGATTCTAAAGAGTCGTCTGTATCCAGAGCTGCTTGCACCGCTTTTTTCCATTCAAAGGTGGGATTCAATGTTGCCTTTAGTTCCCTCCAATCAAGTCCTATTTGTCCTAATATGGAGAAGACTTTTGTAAGGTAATGTAAAAAAATATAATTATTATTTTTTTGCTTTTAAACTAGTAAAGCGAAGATTAGTAACTGCGTTCGAGTGGTTGCCATTAGAATTGAACTGTGAGATGGCAGATAAATGTCAAAAAAGTGAAGCTGAAGCGAAGTTTGTACAATTCAGTGAACCATGCAGACTAGTTGAATTGGGAAGGCTGAAGTATCAGCAGTATCTTCAATGCTTTTATGTATTTTTAATAACTCAACACGATTTTAATACAATCGTTGTGGTAGAATTCAACGATGAAGTGAATAGATCTATCAAGAGCAAGGAATTCAAATCTGTTTAGGTAAGAATTCCAGCCTTGGTAACATGTAAATCCTGGGAAGTTCAAATTGCTCCTGGAACTCCAGGAATGAGCCATTAGGTTTTGGTGCGAGTGATTAATTTTTTTTGGATCGTTCGCAATCGTTCAGTGTACCTACCACGCTGCTCTCCTTTCTTCTCTTCTTTCCCTGCAAAGAACAAAACCAAAATCATTTGAAGAGTGTCTTTACCTCAATGAGGTGATGGCTAATCTACGGATAACGGTTTAATTTTTAATTTGTTTTATTTCATTTAATTTCATTTCCCTACATTTTACTTACCTCATCAATAATAGAACCAAGTAGATCGAGTAACAAAAATAATCCAAGTGGCAATTGAACACTTTTCTCTGGTAAAAACGTTTTTTTTTTTGTTCGCAGAAATTTGCATAGCCACTGATAACGAAAGTGAAATCGATCTACAGGTTGGCAGATACTTCCCATCACTGACTGTACTAATTAAACAGGGACGATTCTCTTTGACACTTTTTAAGGGGACTTGTTTAGAAGTTAAGTATCAGCAAAGTCACAACCTCACCTCATTTTTGGCTAATATGTGAAAAGTTTAGGTAGATTAGCAAAAAATTAAATGGAGAGCAATGTTTTAGCGCAAACCTAGGGAAAAGATATGCGTCTTCCGCGAGGGTTTACCTTTGCAATTTCCCCATTTGCCTCTGTAGATTTTTGTAGTGGAGCACCACGGTCGAATGTGATCATCTTTAGTGCACTTGGTATATTTCCTTCCATAATAGGTAAATGGAAAATGGCACCATTCACCTTTTGTGGTCTTGACACTGCAGTCCTCGTCGTCTGAAAGCACTGGAAAAAAAGCTTTCGTATAATATATATTATTTCTGCCTCCTTAGCCGCTTGTCATCCGCTTGAGCTCTGTTTGCAAGGGCGCTTAAAGAAATGAGCAACAACGAAATATTTGGGTAAAATTTTGGCCACGTAAGATGGCAAAGTTGAGGGCACGAGAAAAAGGCATCCAAAGTAAGATGAAAGTACCATTAAGAATTAAAGAGGAGAGGGAAAAGAGGAGGAGGGTCAAATTCGCAGGGCGTGTTAAGTCTGGAGACCAAGAGGACGACTTTGAGGAACATGTAGCTTGTCTCATATATACCCTAACCTTAAATGAAGTCGACGCTACAAGGAGGGAGCGTGGCCGAGTGGTCAGCGCGTTGGACTCGTAATCTCGCGGTCCCAGGTTCGAGTCCGCCTCTGGCAACTTGCTGGATTTGTTCTCGGTCGTCCCAAATTCAAATCCTCTGAGTCACGCTTGTAAATAGCCAACTGGCTGCCTCCTGCCACTTGGGGTTTTTAATCCTGTTATTTTATGTTTAAATTATGTTTTTTAAGTATTTGAGTGGAGTGCCTGTAAACTAGCTGGATAGGCTAAGTGCACTCAGGCTTTCCACTATAAACAAGCCTTTAAACCTTTTTTCTTTTAAGTACTTTTCCAGACAAACTCGTGACAAGAGTGAGCGAGCTAGCTCCTCTTTTGCTCGTGACTAGTAGTTTTACAGCTGTAGTAATATTCCGGCAAGTAACATCCCAGCTAGTGATTTTCCAGCTAGTAATTGTCCAATTTATCTGGTGATATTCTTTTGATCAATAATTTGCACCCTGCTCACAGCTCTTCCCTGCCGAATAACATATGTTGAAGCTGAATTGGTGAAGAGGAGTCAGTGCTCTTCTAAGCAAACTAACAAAACTCCCTCCGTGACTGAGAGACATAAACATTCTTTTTATTTGTAGGCAAAAAAACTGTCAAACATGGCTTTCGAATAAATAGAAATAGTTAGAGTACTACATTTTCTGAGCCAATAATATACTCGATAGCATCAAAAAATGCTTGATGGAAGGGGAAGAAGCACAGTACAAGGGCACTTAACGACGGTTTCCTCCTAAATGCATTGAAAACACTTTTTAGGCTGTACAGAGTACTTTTACATCTCTAGAAATGCATCCTAAGCAGCGCTATAAAATTTATGTTTTGTCATCCTAGGGCAACTTGAGTCTTTTCGAAATTACAAGCGCTTGAGTATTATTTTCCCGAAAATTTTAGATGCAATTTGACGTATTACGAAAATGAGACATTTCCTGATTCCTCTCTCCATCACATTTTTAAATCCGAAAATTTTGGGTTTCCTCTTTTGTACGAAAAATAGCTTAACTTGGAAAGTGAAATGTGAACATTAAACTTCGTTCAGAAAATCGTAGGGAATTTATTAGATAGGCTTCGAAATTTGTACATGAATGGAACGGTCATCTAGAACGTTTTAGCCTGTGACTTTAGCCCTCCTCAGTTAATAGAAAGTTCTAGGCAATATTTGCTTCTGCGAACAGTTATTTTACAGAAAACAGTCGTTGGGTGCCCCTAACAGTATGCCTCAGTAGAATGAGGCACTAAGCTCCCACACGATTATTCTGGGACACCTGCTTGGTTTGTAATTCTATTTATTAGCACTTACCTCTAACCAATAAAATAAACAAATTGAACTTACCCATTCCCTGTTCTTCTTTACCTAAAGAAGAGGGAGACGTAACACAAATTAAATATGAAATATAAAGTGAGTAGCAACCAATATAAAAGAGAGTAACAATTAACGTTTCTTTTGTTACCTCGACAGTTTCCCCATCTTCCAAAATATTTTACAGTCGTTGAACACCAAGGTCTATGATGGTCTTTAGTTGTACACTTGTGATAGACTTTACCACGATAAGTAAACGGGAAATGGCACCATCTTCCGTCAGTCGTTTTTACCGTGCATTGCCTCTTTTCTACACGAAACAAATAAATTAAGGTAGCATTATAATATATGTGTTATTGTACAAGCGAATAAGATTACGATGACCTAGATATTGGTCAAGCTCGATTTTTTGCTTTTCCAAAGGACAGATCCAGTTGTGGTCAATACGAAATTTGCAAAAAAGAACGAGGCCAATATCTTGCCATTTTGACCTGTCAAGCTTGATTAATGAAGGGTTTATGATGGTAAACAGAACTTAACAGATCTTTTTTTTCCCAGTTGTGGGACAAAAGTGGGAGATCTCCAGTGGATAATATAGATTTATCTTGTCTGCTTGGAGAAACGATCAAACACATTGCCAGAAATCGTGGACATTTCGCGCCCGTGATTAATTGTCAGCGGAATCTCATTTCCAAATGGCGGACAAAAACGATCGTAGTCAGGGAAAGCGTATCCCCTGCGATTTTTTAAAATAATTTGAGCTTTGTGGATCCGTTTTACGAGGAAAAAGCTGGAATAAAACACCTAGCAAGAAAATGTTAGGTTTATACCCGGCTGAGCGGCTGATAGCAACAAAACAGTACGCGGATGTACCTTTCGTGACATTTTCGTGACATTTTCGTGACAATTTTGTTTTAAAACCAAGCCTGGTAGGCTAATCGAGGATTTTTGAATGCCTGGAACCTAGTTTATATCCCGTGAAGCATCTCTGGAGTTTTAGCAACAAACAAAATGGCGATTCGGTGAGGTTTGGAGTTGTGAAGCTTTGTCCGACCGAAATGTGTCATTCGCAACTATGGCGTCCATTACTGGACTACAGATGGAAAACTGAGGGAAATAACGCGCCTTTTGGAAGTATTTTTTAGCGCAAAAATCGTCCTTTTAACGACTGTTTTGGAAACATCTTCCATCGCAGAAGTAATATCAAGTCGGGCAAATTTACTTCAGTGAAGGGTTTATCCTCTAATCGACGAGTATTTCGCATGACTTCGGCAAGATTTTAAGACAATGTATGGAGAAATGGAGCGTACAACGAGAGATAAAAGTGGCCACTTCGGGAAGTAAGTAAACCTACTTCTAATTAGCTATTTTTAACCCAGATGCGAAGGTTACACAGCACTTAACATGTTTCGAGTCGGGCACCGAACACCCGTGAGCTCATAATCGATATATTTGAAAAAGTTTCCTTATCTCCATACATTTTCTTATACGAATTCGCAGCCATTGTGGCCTTAGTGCGCACGCGCAACCGCCATCTTGTCCCTAATTTCTGGCAATGCTGATTTTGCAGACGACAGATACATTTTGAATTCCTTCTTTGTCTCAACAACGAATACAGATGGATTGAGCGAGTTTATCATTCCGAGTATAACAATACCTAAATGAAAGTACCTTATACCTAATAGGATGTCCTAATACGTTCCTTATAAAGTTTAAGTGTGTTGAAAGCAAGTCTCCGAGTACCATTTATTTTGCTAACTTCATTGGCACTCAGAGTTCTGACAATTAAAGTTTCGCATCGCTATCCTTCTACTGAAAGGTAACTTTTAAAGAAACCACATCGTTTAAACGTCCTGTACGCAGAAAATTACCCTTTGAGAAGAGATTTGAAGATACACTTTGTTTAAGCCACAACTGGTCGCGTAGGCAGAGACGTACCTTGTCCGTGAACTGTCACCCGCTTCAGTGACATGGGATTGGGGCCTGCCAGCCGTTGCTGAGTAAAGTGCTTGTCGCTTATCCACTCGGGCTTATTGTCGACGAAGGCTTCATATCGTGATGGCAACCGAGCATACTCCTAATGGTAACAAATATCAAAGTCTATTTGCTGTCTGATTATTGGGCCGCCGGCACAGCCCAATTAAAAATTAGTTTTCGTCGTCTCCGTCAAAGAGGCAAAATATCGGACTGAAGATCCAGAAGGCGGGATAGGAGTAGTTATACACTTAGTATGCAAAAAGTGATATAAGCATAATACCCTCCAAAATATATTAGACCACTACAAAGTGTAGCCCAATGTACGCCTACTGTAGGCGTCTACTTTAAATTTTTTGGATTATGGATCCGATGCATGTTATCTCATCTTGCAAGTTTCATTGGGATTTAAGTACACCAGCGTAGAGAGATAAGCAAAAAGAATTTACACACACCCGGTACGTCAATGCGAAAAATAGCACCAGGAGCTAAATCTAGACGTATGTTATATTACCACGTTTTCGAAAGTAGATCGACGTTATCTTTAATAAAAAAAACAACAACAACAAAACAAGCCTTTCCTATTTCTCATCCGTAAATGGTCAGAGTCATCATAGTAAACAGCTCTAATTTTAGAACCTAAAGTTTAAAAGAAGCTCAGGAAAGTAAAGCGGATTTCAGTTTTCAGATTTGAATGGTGTGTAGTGTCCTGTGGAAGGCTTTTTGGGGAGATACACTGTCGAAGGACTTGAGTTCGATGCTGGGCTAAGAATTTCTTATGTTTTAATACTGACTTCTGTCATTAATTTTCATTGCGTCAAAAAAAAAGAAAGAAAACCAGATGTCTCAATAACAGAATCGATCGTTACAATTCACTACAAAAAATTTAACATAGACAATTAGGGAAACCATCTTGTCTTCTTGGTCTGCAACCACAACATGGTGGGCCAGTCATGCGCAATAGGCTTTTTGCATTAGTTGACCACGTGATCAACATTCGGTAAACGTGAAAACAGTACGCTTTCGAAAGAAATTGTTAGAACGAGTTGAAAGAACATATTAAAATTAGGACACCTGTAAATTTTCAGCCGTATATCTCAAAAGTAGCGATTGCAACGGCCACAGAAACAACTTTTGCAACCCTGTCAAGCTTGAATGATTTTCGATACAAATTCTTGTGAATTTCAACATTTTCAAACTGTCGTGAAATATTACCTTAAGCATTACGAGGCTCGAATCTCCCTTTAATTCATAACAGGTAGTTTGTGCCCTTCAACGCGTAAGGGTAAGATTTAACGACCGTTGAAAAATTACAGAATCAAGGAGTTGCATGCAAAACCAGTCAAGCGTGCCTGGCTGGTAAGAGTTGTTTTTCTCATAAAATCCTTCTAATTTTTGGCAACCGTTGTAATCGCTACTTTTGAGATATACGGCTGAAAATTTACAGGTTACCTAATTTTACACTTTCGGCTCTTGCTAAAAAATTTTTCAAACGCGAACTCTTTTCGTGTTTACCGAAAGTTGATCACGTGATTAACTAATGCAAAAGGTCTGTTCACAAAACAATACATTTTTTAATAGAATTTGAATGAGGGCCTGTTTGAATGAAAAGGCAAGCTTTGGGGTAACCTGCCTGTTCCTCATTTTAATGTGATCACGTTTACAAAGAAACCCGCCGATATTACCTCACCTACCTGGGGTCCCCCACCTTCATGTAAACAGGCTCTTAAATTCCCAGCAAAGAAACACGATATTGCTCGCGTCAACTAAGTTGTAACATCAGTTAAATCTGACAATACACTGACGTCACGGACTAAGCCATTTTAAAGTTTAAATATCAAATTTATTACATCACCAGCGCATATAACCACAGGCGGCCCAGACGTAGTGTGTGTCAATATACTAATATTCACATGGACAAATTAATGCGATGAGTCGTCGAAACTCCCATGGACTAAAATAGTCCAGAAGTCAAAATATAACAAAAAAAGCAAAGATACCGTTAACTGAACGTATCCTTGTGTTTCCTGGCCTAGCCGGTTAAAGTGGCATTCTGTTGAGTTTTGCAATTGTAGGTACTATCCACTAAAGAAGAATTCAAGGCTGGCTAACGTTCACATTGTTCGTCCAGCCGCTTGAATAGGTTCCTGGGGTTTACTGGACCTGTTTGCTTGGATTAATGAAATAAACAGTTCTTTCCAGAACAGCGACAATATGTTTTCCAAAGTGGCGAGGGAGCACGTCAATTTGCCGCCTAGCAGAGAGGAAAAATTTAGCCTCGGCTATGCAGCTGAATGGAAGCTATGGTAAAGAAAAAAGTTATGTGCGCGATTTTTTTTTTTTTTTTTTTTTTTTTTTTGGTTATGATTATCATTATTGTCAAAACTCAGGGGCCTCCAACGATGATTTCTTCCTAAATGCATTTAAAACACGTTTAAGGCTGTCCAGAGTAGTTACGATCTCTAAAAATGCATTCTAAGAGGCGCTAATACATAGATGATATTTATATAGTTTGTTCATACTACAGTCGACTCCCGGTAATTCGAACCTTCAAGGGAAATAGAAGAAAGTTCGAGTTATCGGGAGTTCGAGTTATCGAGGGTAAAATTATATGGAAAATGATCTGAAGGGAAATGAAAATTACTTCGAGTTAACGGGAGGTTCGAGTTATGGAGGGTTCGAGTTACCGGTAGTCGACTGTAAATATAAAATCGTGTAATGAAACGTCCACAAACTTCGTGGTTTTAACGTTTTCACCAAATGAGCGAAAATCTTACTCTTGAGCAAACTGAAGTTTTTCAGTTTGCCAAGAGTGGGCACAACCTCCTCGTCACTAGTTTCCTTCGCAGCCGTTATTAGGGTCGTCACTCGTCACGCAACGCTCCTCCCCACTAGTGGGGAGGAGCGTGGCGTGACGAGTGACGACCCTAATGACGGCTGCGAAGGAGACTACCTCGTCACCGGTCAAGCTGGAACAGGAAAATCAAGAGTGGTTAATGCAATTTCAGACGACTGTCAACAGCTTGATTTGCGAGTATCTGTAATTTGTTCAAGTGGAATTGCTTGTCTAGTGTATGATCCAGGCGTCGCCTCGACAGTCCTTTCTCTTTACGGTCTTGGTGCTGCAGATCTGCCGGCCGAGCTACTGATGAGTACCTTCGATTCCGGGGATTTATGTTTCAATCTTAGGTGGGTAGAAAACGAAGACCTAAGACCCAACACCCAAAAACGAAGACCCCCTCAGAATCACTCAGTATAAATATCCAGACTAAACGGGTATCTCGACCTTAGATGTGCAAGAAACAACAAGATCTTCAATTATACAAAATTTCATCCACGGTCTTCGTTTTCTACATAATCCCCCCGGTGTATAAAAAACGAAGACCCCCCTCAAAATCACTTAGAAACGACTGGAAACTGCTTTTAACGACTTCTAGACACTAAAGGAGTGTAAGAAAAAACACGGCTCCTGACGATTTTCAATTATACAAAATTTCGACCAGGATCTTCGTCTGAGTTTTCTTCGGAATCATATGCATCCTTTGCCATCCGGCAAAATGTCCCATTCCATGACATTAAATAACCATGTCACTTGGAGATCTTAAACTTGTCATGGGTTAATGCCCAGCCTTGTTTCCATCAGCCTCAACATTTTTATCAGAAAAATACGAGTCTTGAAGTCTCTGCTCGCAGTCACGTCTTTATTACTGACGATAAAATCGTTTCCGAGATTTTATTACGGCCAGCTTGCGCGTGAGCCAGAAAACACATTTTGTGTGAATATTCTAGCCGCTTGCTACGGACACTTTCTATGGTCCCCTAAATGTCTGTATTAACGGGGTTTGACTGTACCACGAAATTACAGATACTCGCAAACCACGCTGTTGACAATCGTCTTGAATTGCTTTAACTACTCTTGACTGATTTTCCTGTTCCAGCTTGACCGGTGACGATCGAGGAGGTTGTGCCCACTCTTGGCAACTTCAGTTTGCTCAAGAATAAGATTTTCTCTCATTTGGTGAAAATGTGAAAACCACGAAGTTTCTGGACGTTTCATGTAGTCAGGCAAAACAACGGCAAGGAAATGTAAAAAAGAGCGTGCTGCAATTAGACCTAAAAAAATTGTTGTATTTCACAGTTCTCGTTGCCTTCGCCGCTTAACATTACACGATTTCATATTTAGTATGAATAAACCATAAATATTATCTCTGTATTAGGGCCGCTTAAAATGCATTTTTAAAGATCTCAATTACTCTGGACAGTCTTCAAAGTGTTTTAAACGCATTTAGGAAGAAATCGTCGTTGGAGGCCCCTGAGTTTTGAAAATAACAATAATCATAACCAAAGAAAAAATATTGCGCACATCCTTCTTCCTTACCCTAGCTTCCATTCAGCTGCATAACCGAGGCTACATCTTGTCTTTTTCCTAAGTGGCAAATTGTCGTCCTTCCTCGCCACTTTGGACAACATATTGACGCTGTTCTGGAAAGGACTGTTTATTTCATTAATCCAAGCAAATATGTCCAGTCCAAGCGGCTGGACGAACAGTGTGAACGTTAGAAGAATTGGAAAACCAGAGCCGCCCTGTTGAAAACTTACGGACAGTCGTGCGATCGCCTTTTGTTTTCTGGTCAAAACTAACGCAGCAGACCCTCGCTCAGCGTTGATTGAGCTAGAAGCAATAGTGCCATCCCTCCTAAAACCTTTACATAAACAAATTTTTGGTTCGAAAGGGTTCTTGTTGCATTGTCGCTTTTGGGTGCGGGGACGCGGTCGAAAGCTCTTGTGTGGGTTACCGATTTTGGGAGAATATTCACGTCAAAATATTACTGTAATCTTTATGAGGTAGTTTGCGGTCATATCGACGCGTTTAAAGGTCAAGAGTGTTTGTTGATGAGCGAGCGATTATTGCATTGCAGATTTGTCCTTCGATGGGTTTTGCATTTTGGATTGCAAGCGAGCAAGAAACCGGCGGTCACACGTTAAGAGTGTTTGTTGATGAGCAGATTAGTCGATGGCAATTTGGAAACCGGATTCGAATGGCAATTTGGAGCGGATTCGAATTTACAGCGCTTCGCGTGAAGGAGCGTGGAGATGGTCCGTTTGTTTTGTAGCCAGCCTTGAATTCTTCTTCAGTGGATAGTACCTACAGTTGCAAAACGCAACAAAATGCCACTTTAACCGGCCAAGAAAGACAAGGATACGTTCAGTTAAAGGTATCTTTGTTTTGTTTTGTTATATTTTGACTTTTGGACTATTTTAGTTCATGGTAGTTTCGACGACTCATTAATTTGTCCATGTGAATATTAATATATTGACACACACTACGTCTGGGCAGCCTGTGATATAACCTGACATTCGGCCCGGTTTAACTCTTGATTGAATGTCAAAAGTTAGCAATTACATCTTACTTATGGTTTTATCCAGTTGATCTCGGTCTTTGAATAACAAAACAATATACTTATGCCAATTGCAGGTTCTAGAGCCGACTGAAAAAACGCTGACAACTTCAGATATTCTGATAGGTCCGTGATTTCCTGACCAGCGGTTATATTGTTGTACAAGTCAAAGGATTTACTGCTTGCTTGCGTGATTTGAAGATATACCGAAGCGTAGTATCGTATAAAGGGATCTTGCACAGCAATAGCTCTCAGCTGCTCAGAGGTCATGTTCAGTAAGGCAAAGCCATGTAAATCTGGATCATGTTTTAAGGTCCAGATCTTCTTGTTCTGATTTAAGGCAGCATTTCTCGACACTTTACAGGCAGGACTGGCTTGCTGGAGAAGGGATACTTCACATGGCGTCGCTGATACATACCTTGGTGAAATTAAGAATTTGCTTGTCAGTGTAATGCAAAATAGTCAAAGTTATTCAATGTAATTTGGTAAGGGATATAATCAGTTCGGGAGTATGCCAGTTTTGGAAGAAGCGAAAACAATGGTCTACGTCACCAACCATAACATGATCACCATGGCGATGGTCATTTTCAAAACATACAAAATGGCGGACAAGGGAGAGGAGAGGAGAGAGTATTGACCAAAATTCTCGTTTATTCTTGCTTTATCGAGCCTTTTATTTGTCTTTTCGTTACTATGAATTGGGAAGTACCTTGAGGACAGGGAGTAACCATTCTTGCGCTATAGTTCTTCGTTTATCGCGCGCTTAGGAGGCACTGCGTGCTCACTGCGTATGTAATCAGTACATCGAAAATAGGTAAGCACGCTAACAAGTTTGTGCCTATTTATTTCATTATTTTTTTATATCATAAGGAAAAAAGAACGCTTTGGAAACAACTAAAAAGTGAGTTGTTCTATAATTCATTTCCTTATGTTTGCTTTCACAGTAAGTGTTAATGTAATTTTTCCCGTTGCTTCTGTTTCTCTCCCGCGAGTGAGCGACTAGCCGGAGAAGACGGCTTTAATTCAGGTTATTGTTTTGGTGCAAGCGAGTCATTTGTGAGTAAAATATCTGTTTTTCCGAATATGATGTTCTGTTGGTTTATGTCTTGAAGCGGTTCCGTCCAGGTATACAACAGGTTTACAAGGGATTTCTGAGGGTATTTGTGCCCTCGTTTTCTTCTTGAAAACCCACAAAGTGAAAATCTTACATATCATCCCTGATCATTTTTGTTTTTGTCCCGCTTCAAAAAAACCTATTGCTTTCAATTATTCCACTTTCTGAAGTTCACTGATTATTTGGTCAAGCTTAACAAATGCAAGAGGCTCTTTAGAATTTAATAAACATATTGGAAAACTAAGAATTATGCTTGTTACATGCTTTTGGATCTATTGATTAAAATGGGACACTATAGTCTTGTAGTCCACCGGATTTGACCAGAGGTCAGAGATCAACAAGGTTATGGTTTGTTATAAAATATCCTCTTGTATGGGATTTGATGTTACATCCGAATAATACTAAATTATTGTTTTTAACTCTGGGGCTGCCTTTAAACCAAAGGGTTTGTAACTTTGAGGAGCACTTTTCTCCAAGTCCTCTCTGTGGGGACCCTCAAACAATTCTATTAGACAAGTTTTGGCCCAAAATAATAATGATTACTGCACTTGGCATGGACACAACATAAGTTTTCCAAAGTTCTTTTTCATAGCCGGTTTCTATTGAACAGCACTTTCAAGAAAACAAAGCTCACACATCAGAGTAAAGATACAATAAAAGTTATTTATTGTTACATTTTGTTTTTTGTAAATAAACATTTGATTTTAGGTCCTGACAGTTAATTCTTTCTGTATTACTGTTTTTGATTCTGACCTGCATGAATCGCTGCCATGGCTCTCTGGCTCGCATATTATACACACTCTTTTATCTCAAAATCTTGTTTTTTAACACCTTCTTGGACATGAAAACCAAAAACCAAAACTTATTTGATATAATGAAGACAGTAGTAGCTGACATCGATTTTCAATAGTTATCTTGTGAGATGTCTCTCATGTATTATTTATTAGGGAGGATGATTTGTTGAAGACGATGCATTAACACAGATGCTTTTTCATCAAGAGAATCTCAATAATTTAGGATTTATTCAAATACACGCATATTCGACATTATGAAATCAAATGTGGGCTTATTGCTCATGCACAGGGATTGATGGGGGAGAGTGTGGCATTTTTCATGTTTCAGATTGACCTTTTGCAAAGCACAGGGACTGAACATATTATGTATTTGGCATCTGTAAAGTATAAACAATATTTGATGCAAGGGATTGAACATTATGTAGAGAAAATCTTCACAAGCCTCCACTTCCATGACTCCTTTCTCATCTATCTCCTTTAAAGCCCCTTGAATAAAGGCCACAGTCTCTTCTATGGTTGAATGGTCATTGAGTGTGAGCTTCCACTCACAAGGTATATAAGCCCCCCGTCCAACCTGTTTCCCTCTTCCTCATTTTTGAAAGGGTCAAAGGAGGGGCTTTTGTGGTGGGTAAGCCTGTGACCACACTACAAAGAAACAAAAAAAACATGATTAATTTTATTGAGGTAGGGTTGAATTTGGACATTAAATTTTTCATTACAGTGGAACATAAGGCGAACCTAAAGCAATATTTTGCCCTCAGAGCACAAATATGTCGTTCTGAAGATATTTAGCATTTTGTCTTCCTGGTTCCTTTTCCCAGCTTTTTGGCACAAACGCGACAACATGTTTGTAATATCTCCAGATGTTTGTGTACATTTTGGACGGACATCCTGATCAAAATAAAAGAAATCAATATAAGAACCTACTCACGCCGATTTAAAACTCATTCCACACACATGATCTGGATCAATAAAGTGATTTCTAGATGAAAGTCGCATACATTCCCGGTGAATAAAACCAAAAACAGACCTGATCGATTATCACTAAAACTACATAGACAGACTAAGGCATAACCATCAGTAACCCTTCCTGTCCGTTGGCAATTTTCGATGTGTGGTTGCCATTTTTACTAGGTTGTTGCCATCGATGAAACTTTGCCTGAACACACTTTACATGTTGTAGTTTTGAGGAAAATTAGTCTTGATTTCGTAAAAATTCGGCAAGATACTGAAAACTAAACATAAAGTCATGTACTTACATTCGATACCCGTCAAAATGGCGGCGGCGGCGGCGAAGGCCATTTGAAAACTGTCGCTTTTAACTACCGAAATGTGGCAGGAAACTTCCGTTGACTTTAAAAAAGCAAGGAGAAGGCTTCTTCATCGGTACTGCTAGCTCGGAAGTCCCAGATATTGAACGAGGAGACCTGGAACAGGCTTTGAAAAAAGCTCCCTTGTTTCTTGCGATTATTTTTTCCTATTTTTGCGTGTTTTTAGCAGAACAATGGAATCATGACGTCATCGCTTCTTCCAAAACTGGCATACTCCCGAACTGATAATTCCAAGAGATTGAAATAAACTGTATACAATTTTCCCTAAGTATCGGAAAATCTATTATATTCAACAACAAATGCGTTCAAATTTTTCTCAAGATTGAAACAGTTAGCAGCACCACTACGAACGTTTGGTGAGATTTCTGTGCTGCCCCATAAATCTGTTATGCATGTAGCAATCTCATACTGGTTGACATGAATCGAGTCGAAACAACTACGCATAATAAAATCTGCCAATTGTCTGAGTATCCCTGTACATATTCCTTTGACCGAATTAAGATGATTTTAAATTCAAGAAAAACTTAACAGTTTTCAAAAGTTCATCCGACTGTAGCTTCAAATGTAACGCCCAGGACATTTGAAATCGTAATATCCGTCCCAATAAATTGAACACAAAATAATTAAATTAGAAGCAAAACAAAATTGCGTGTTTATTAAAGTTCCTCTAAGCCTTGCCTTTCTAACATTTCCGAGAAAATGAAGCTGAAAATTTGGACCTGTTTTATCCGATATATCCGACCATAATCCAGGTCGGTTACGAGATTTAACTGACCAATCAGGCATTTTCGCGCTTTGAAAGAGCCTCTTCAAAAGTAGCCTAGAAACGCAGACGTATTTTTGGTCGCCGCTTCTCTCCATGCGCAAAGTAACTTTTCGGGTAGAGAGAAGCGGGGACCGGAAGTACGTCTGCGCTCGCAATTTACTTCGAAAGACGCTAGAGAGAAATTGTCATTATTTTCGTCGCTTCGGATTTAATATAGAATTAAAACAATATCAATCGCAGTACTTTGTCTGTGATATTTTTCTTTTAACATTGGCAGCAAAGACTGTGAATAAACTTGAATAAACATTTACATGAGTAGATAAGTAACCTATGGAATTCCACAAAGTTCAGTCAAGGTCCTACAAAATTGCCTCAAGCTCAATACGACCTAGCCTGCGTAGCATGGCGGTTTTGTCTGGAGCTTGCATTGACTGAGCGGCAAAGCCGGGAGAAAAATAAAAACCGCCTGCTCGGATGCGTGACCTTTTCAACTGCCACCACCGTCCACTCATTTTGACAATCCTGTTGACAACTTGTTTGGTTTCAGTTTTCCCAGCCGATCATAAAGTGTTGGCAGGCTAAACACGACTCAAAAGCTCGTGATATAATGTAAAACGTGACCTTGGCCGGAATTGGAGTTTGCTTGGCAAATACAGATTTTTTTGCTATCTCGCGCGTAAGTGAATACCCTGCGTTCTAAACTTAACAGAGTAAATCTTATTTTTGCCGCACTAAGTCTTACATTTATTTAGAGGTCATGAAGTTGGTTTGTTTCATCCATATTGAGTAATTATTCCCTGTAGTTAATGCTTCTATAGGTGTTGCTGATAGAATTTGTTGATCTCAGATGCAGTTGTCAAGTACTCATTTCTTTGACCACTCTTAAAGCCTAAAGCTTTTCATTATAGCTTCTTTGGTTTTCCCTTACTAAAATTCCTGGATATGGATGACTACAGACCAAGGAGCCTTGGTTTGTAGTTTCTTTGTCCGTGAATGTTTTGACGCTGGGCCCGGCTTTTAAGCAAGTATTGTTTGCAGGATGTTGAATTTTTACGGATAGGGCGATCTTCAGACGTGGGTTGTAGCTTAAACTTAAGCTACACCAAGTATAGAGAATTACGCTGTGCGTCTTTCTTCTACTGTGACTATGCGATTCATCGATCACAATCGTGGACACCGTTCGATGTAGTGCGCTGGAGTATGTTATTCTCTTACACCGGGTAATAGAGAAAATTGAGGTGGACTTTCTCGAAGCCAATCAACTG